CCAATCTCTCCAGTCTCTCATATAACAAAATAAATCAAAGCGAATCAAAACAAAACTAAAATCTAAAACAGGCGCTATTCAATCATTCTTTAATAAACCCCCGTAAAGCTTAGGTACACAAGAAACACAAAAAAGATTTCAATCCCAAAACCATCATGAATATTGACCATAACCCCTTCTATGCCGTCCTTGAAACTCTTCCTCACTTCCAAAAGGTCTTCAGAGCGCCATATATGCCCTAGAACTAGAACTGTTTGAAGTTGAAGAAGAGTTTGTCATTATTTCTTTAATTTTCAAACGAAGATGATTCGTAATAAAAGTTTTTTCCTAATATTTTGGCAGTGATTTCCCTTTGCTATTTCTGCTTTGAACTACGATAAATAAAAAAGATATGTGAAATTTAGCAAACAATTTTAGTTTAATCAAACCTCCTTTTCACCCCAGTACACAGGGTTTAAAACAATGCAACACAAGAGGGAATAAAGTCTTCATCTTCGGTCAATGTGACCGACAATTGTTCATGAACTGGTTGGAGAATAAAAGTTATGAGAAATCTGGGAATTCTATTGTTGCCATACATCCATGGAAAAGCAAATGTGAGGTGAGTCACATAAGAAGTCGTTTCTCTGATTTATGCCACATAGACATGGATATGTCAAATTTATCGGTGGAGTTTATACAAATTAAAAGTATGAAATTAAAAATGACACGCTGAACTTAAAGCAAATGACATGTTAAAAATCTACAAATTAGAAAACAGTGTCGATTTTCAGCCGATTTAATAGTGGATTAGTCCACTTTGTCGCGACACCTGCCTCACTCACATACAACAGTTGTGTGTGTCTGCCACACCACAGCCCCTGAGGTCATTCATGTGTCTTCGAAGAGCTCAAGGCTTCGAGAACGAATACTGATCAAGTAAAGATACCAAAAGAAACTGGCTCAAAGACTGTAACAGTTAGAAAAATTCACAAATGAGTTGAAGGTTTATAACAATATACTGGTGTGTTGTAAACCTTACAACAATCCTGACAAGCATATAGACTACAGTAATAAAATGACACACACATGCACACACACACGCACACACACACGGGTATATATCATCACCATCATTCACCATTTAGGAGGCCGGCTTCCAACCCTTCCTGTCAGGTCAAACTGAGCTGAATGGAATACATTATAATACAACATCCCAGTAGAAAGTATGAGATAGTCCAACAAAATTATTTCCACTTGGGAACCGAGCTTGGTCTCCTGTGTGTGACAGCGAAGCAGCTGACCACTACCACAGAGACGCTCGCTATTCAACAATAATTTAAGGTATGTGAAAAATTTGAAAGAATGGAAAACAAGTACGTTGTAGATCTTGATGAGATGCATTGATTAGTGTTAGCCTCAATCCTCTTTTTTTTTTTGGGGTAGAAGTTTTAAGGAGCTCGCAACTGCATAAGGTCGTATGAGTGCCAAGGGGTGGATGTCAACAGAGAAGTCCTTACAGGGAATCAGGCTTACTAGCCTCACCTCTCTAGCTTCAACAGCAATTGCTTCGACTATCAAGGCTCCTCGGAAATAAGCGGGTCACAAGAGAGTACAAAAGAAGTAGAGGAAAAAGGACGACAGTAAGGGTAAGGAAAGAAAAAGCAGCAGTTCCCTGTTGCAGTTCAGGCAGTTATGAGCATGACATTGATCTATCAGCCCATTTACAAGTACAATTCTACTGTACATAAGAGCATTCTCTTCTCTCAAAAACTCAGGGATTACGATGAGTGAAACATTTCGTAATAAGAAAATGTCCTAAGCGAAATAAAACAGTTTTTTAAATTCTCTTGAAAACCTCGTATTTTGATATACGACGATAATAAATGACGGCGATGATATACGCACTTCAAAACATTTCCAATCAAGTGTCAGAAACATTCAGTTATTTTCTCGAAATAGAAGATCCATGCACTAAAGGTATAATAATAATATCTTTCACGTTATGACATCTGCTACTGTAAGATACCTCACTCATTACAATAGATGAAATTAAAACCAGAGCAAAACAAAACAAAACAAAAACATCTCTGACAGATGTTCCAGCAAACACCTCCTCCAAACATATCTGCTGCCATCATAAAACAATCTGGAATGTTCTGACAAGTCATAAATACATACAGATAAATATCGCAAATAATATATTTATATTATATGTACATTTTTACAAAAATTGTAAACAAATATTTTGACTTGACTCTGATGTAAAAATGCACTCTCGTGTATAAGAATAACTTCTGGCAAGCGACGAGGGGACCAGTACTGGCCCAATCTGACTATGAAAATCTCAGGCAATTGCCAAAAAGAAAGCAGTTAAAGCTAATATGGGTTGTTATTTTTTTCTTCAATATATATAATATAGAAATTAAGAAATATGGGGCAAGTCATGCATATTATATCATCGCTGAAGCTACAACAAAAAATGCTCCACTCCACAGACCCTGATTTACAGGGCAAGCAAACCACAAAACTGGGAGTAGCTCATTAATTGTCCATCATTCAATGGCAGCAATGTATATATATACAGTATAACATGGATAGGTCGAACACAGAAGACTCTTAATCACGCATCCGTCGAAGTGTTCCTGCGGTTCTGGGTTTTTTTTTCTTCTTTATCTTCGTTAAGATATCACCCGAACTATGGATCCCTTGGACTACCGAGGCCTTTCCCGATGAATTCGAGCTATCTGTGTTATACTGTAATACAACAATACGGTACAAAGAGCCGTCGTCGTTCTTGGACTAGATAGAAACCAAGCGCTTGAGCACTCCATCACTGAGGGTATGCCGTGTCTAGAGAAGCTGTCACTACACATGTCTTATTGACACACCAACTGCCGACACTACACATGTCAGACCATGTCTAACTGACACACCAACTGACATCACTACACATGTCTGACTGACACACCAACTGATGCCACTACACTACATATGTCTGACTGACACACTAACTTAGGCCACTACACATGTCTTACTGACACACCAACTGATGCTACTACACATGTCTGACTGACACACCAACTGACACCACTACACATGTCTGACTGACACACCACCTGACATCACTACACATGTCTGACTGACACACCAACTGATGCCACTACACATGTCTGACTGACACACCAACTGATGCCACTACACATGACTGACTGACACACCTACTGATGCCACTAAACGTTTTACTGTCGCATCAACAGTCACCATAACAACATTAAAACAACATAAATGTACTAAGAGAGGCCCCTACTTTGACCGCATTTTCATCTGGTCTAAAAGCACATAAAAAAATATATCCTAATTTACCGACTAGTTTATCCTAATTTACCGACTAGTTTGATTCTTCTTTCAACAACAAGTGTGATCAATAGCCAGAGTGATTGTCTTTCTGTGGATATATATGTCCTTTGCAATACTGAGGGTGCATTATATTATGTATTTGAAAGGATTGTTGTTCGTCAAACGGTCCATTATACTTGAAATGTTGCTTAAAATCTTATTTTTATTGTAAAGCACATAGAGCTCCCAAGGAGTGGGCACCATGGAAGTCATCTTCTTACTTTTATTATACATATTGACAAATAAATTTCTTCCACTGTATCTGGAGTACCAACTACTACTGAAATCAAGACTATGTTTGAATATGAACATTAAAATTTAAATAATTTAACAGATGAAATAATTTCAGTAAGCGTGCCTAAAGTTCCTTTCACTACCTACCTCACTACAAACGCACAACAATTTTACTGATGAATGAATACATACATTTCAGCAGCTATGTGCAACCTGCGGCCAACTTTTCACTCTCTTCACAACATCATCACTACAGTTTAATTACTTGACACTTTGCTCGCTATTACGGACTCATGTTGCATAAGCACAACAAGGAGAACAGAGTAGGCACAGAGGTGTTCAATAAAACCAGACACTGATCAAGAACCTTTTCAAAACGGTGAAAGAAGACAAGCGTAACTTCTTCCCAGAAATCTTCAACACAACAAAGTTGTGAATAATTGAGCAAATAAAAAAAAGCAAACATAACACATCTCAGCAATATTTTTCCAGACAACTTAACATTGCATTATGCAAGCAGCTCAGACATTATGAATGGAGTATTACTAAAGGTTTTTCATTTTCTCATATCTGATCAACAATGTTAAGAAGTTCCAAGTAATTTCAACCACGTTAAGGGTAAGGTACTGTGACAATATAATACACATCACTCTCACTCACATATATTGCTCTTGCAATACAAAATTTCACTTAATATTTTACAGGCAATCCAAGCCATGCAGATCACAAATGGAATATTGCCAAACTCAGGATTTAAAACATACTTACAATCTTGTCCAAAACATATTAAAAATTTTCACTGTAAAGCCGAAAGCTAGACAACAGAATTTTTTTAATGACAAAGGCCTAGTAATATTCCTACAGTAGACAAAATCATTACAAAATGACGTACGGTAATGTTATCACCGCAATCTCTACTGCACATTTTGAGAAACAAGGACATATGTTTAAAAAATAAATCCTTTAGAATTCGAAAAGCGTTCACAGACTCTCAGCTACTGTTTGACAGGCACATATTTTTCTCGTTTATAGAAATTTGAAAGATAAACTCTGATAAAATAACTTACATCACATTTTGTTTTTCATAACAGCAGCTTACTATTCTTAGTATACAGCTCAAGCAAGTTCTGCTTCTCAACATTGTCCCTGACTGTAATTCATACGACATACACTGTGTTGCAACTGAGCTATGCAATCACATCCCTACTACGAATTTTAAGATGTGGGACCACAAAAAGATCCCCCCCCCCCTCCCTCCCTCCCCAGAAAACAGCAAGATGACCGCTGCAGCCTTAATAATCTCAGGCTTAACACAACTTGTTCCACTGTTCAAAACCCACTCAGAGATGCCCAACATCACAGTTACTTCTACAGATTATGTAACAAGGTACAAAATCACACCAAGAGGGACAGGTTGAGATGTCGTGTTTGTGACACAGCTCGTCTTAAATTCCAGATAGTCGAATCCAGGACAGTCTCAGCAAATTCGGGACACTTGTCAAGCCGGATTATTATAATCCTGTCTTCAATATCTTTGTCGTTCTTTGCCGCGTGCTCCCCATGGCATATAGGAAAGTCAGTGCGACTTCTGCACTCTTACTGATATAATAATAAGACACTTTCGGGTATGCAGTAGGATTTCAGAAATGTACACAATGGGATCTGTAACAAAATAATGATACTGATATCACATACTTAAATGGGGAACATAAAATAAAATTGTTATAAAGGAAACACTGAGAACTCTGAAACATGAAAAAAACCAACATTTGGAATTCAGGAAATTTTCGTGATGACTTTTGTCAGAACCTTCCAGAAAGCCTCAGGTAGTGTCTGACCCTGTGACTCTGGCCATGACCCCAGCCGTGACCTCTGCTGAGACCCCGGCCGTGAGCCCCGGTATCCCGCCAGCCATGCCCGGCGCGCTGTGCATCAACATGTGTTTGTTGAGCTCATACTTGCGAACAAACTCCTTGCCGCACACCTGACACACGTGGGGGCGCGACCCGGCGTGGATGCTCTGCGTGTGTCGCTTGAGGTGGTCGCTGCGGCTGAAGCGCTTGCCACACACCCAGCAGGGGTAGGGTTTGAGTCCCGAGTGGGTGGCGAGGTGGCGCTTGAGGTGGATGTTCTTGGCGAAGGTCTGACCGCAGCTCGGGCAGTTGTAGGGCTTCTCAATGCCGTTGGGGCACACGTGCACCTTCAAGTCCGGGGCACGCGCAAAGCTCTCGTGACATAGCTGGCACTGGTACACACGCGCAGTAGGGGAGTGTGTGCGCATGTGTGTGAACAGCGCGGCCTGGTAGGAGAACACGCGTGTGCACACATTACACGGGAAGCCTTGCCGGGAAGCGAGTCGGCGTTTGGGACCCGACCGCTGCTGACCCGAGCTGGTCTGAGGATGTTCCCCACCTTTGGAGTTCTGTCGTCTTTTCGGGCCGTCAGACACCGTTTTCTGGTCGGGCAGGCTGGGAAATTTGTCAGCTGAGTTGTTCGCCCTGTTGGTCTCGACGGAGGTGAGGGAGGAGTTGTCTTGTACGAGGCTGAGTGCATGATGGTACCCTGTGGAGGAGGAGGAGGAGGAGGAGGAGGGAGGGTAGGGGAGGAACTGTCCATATATAGCGTGAGCAGCGTCACCGTTCACGTCCAGCGAGGCCAACTGAGCCGACGCCGGGTCCCCCTGGTGGCTGACCGAGGTGTCACCAGCGAGGAGCCGGGCGTAGTTGTAATACTGCGACAGGCCAAGGGGGGAGGACGCAGCCAGACCGGCGAGAGCCGCGGTCGTCGAGCGGCCCACAGAGAGAGGAGAGAGGAAGGTGCTCCCGCCGATCCCACCCGTCGCGGCGGAAGATGGGGAAAAGTCGTGCGAGCTCTTGCTCATGTCCAGCGGCTGCTCACTCTCTGCTGAGGGATCCGTCTTCACCCCAGCCTTGTCTCCGTGGCAACCGCCGTCTGGTGTACGGGCACCTTCGAAACCCTGACCTACTTCTGCTGTTGTCGTTGTTTGTCTCCCCCCTCTGTGGTGACGCCCGTGGGGTTGTTCCGAGGTTCCCGAGCCCCCCACCTCCGCAGCCTTGGGACACACGCTTCCCTTCGGGTGGTAGAGCAGACACGCCTGGCAAAAGGTGGGGCTCTGCTCCATGCACCACTTGGCAAACTCCTGGTACTGGCGCACGTACTGCTGGTACAGCTCAGATGCCTCCGACGAGCCGTTCACGTCTGCCGGCAAAATCTGTTGTTGTTGAGTGATGGAGGAAGTGAAGGAGGAGGAGAACTCTGTGCCGACATCAGCTTCCACCAGACTGGCTCTGGAGAGTTTCGACTTCTTAGCACCACCGACTTTCTCCCTTTGTTCATGGCTGGCACCAGTAGCAGGGGTGACGGTGGGTGACTGGTACACTGTGGAGTGATCCCCCATCCCTGAGGCGGCTCTTTGGTCCACCCCGTGCGTCATCTTCCAGTGTTTCGACAGACTTTTGCGATCCCCGAAACCTTTGTAGCAAATCTGACACTTGAAGCCCAGCATGGACTGAGAACCCAGGGTGCTGAGTTCCGACCCCAAGTTGAGGAGTCGAGTAGTGGAGGAAGACAACTCGTCGGGCTGAGCTGGCTCTACTTTGACCACAGCCTTTCCCTCCCCACCACTGTCAATTCCAACAATGGAACCAGTCATTTCTCTGCTCTCGACATTCACACCATCAACATTCTCCTCCTCGCACTTCGCACCGTCCCCATTTTTCTCCCCAGTTCCTTCATTAATATCATTGTTGTTTGTGTCATTATGCAACATCCCATCATCCACCTCTGCCTCTCTTGACGATGAGGCAGTCGTAGCATTTCCCTCGTGTTTGTCCCCACCTAGAACAGCACCGCTGGCCTCTTCATCACCACAACTTCCTGTATCGCAACCACCAGAAAAATCAGCAGCATCAGCAGAAACTCTAGCGTTGTCAAGTTGACTTCCAGTTCCGAGATAGTTCTGCATATCTGATGAGACACCGCCCCCCACTTCCTGTTCCGCCTTAAAGTCAGAAGATGACGCACGCTCAGACGGCGAGCAAACGAGACTATCATCGACAGTTATTCCGCACTCGTCTTCGAGCGGAGACGCGTTGTTCTGAGATGAGGAAGCAGCACCAGCACCTGCCTGCCCCCTCCTCTCCCTCCACTCCCTCACGTTGCGAGAGACGTAGACAGGATGCGCCGACTCCTCGCAGCACCGCTGGTGAAGACACAGCTCAGACGCCGAGGCAAACTCATCCCCGCACGACACGCAGATGTACAACGGTTCATCCACGCTCACCTCGGAGTGATTGAGGGATGCGGGAACCTTGTAAGAGTCCACAGACAGTTTGGCCTTGACATTCCCCTCCCTATCTCGCCCGCGTGATGTTGGATCACTTTTCTCAACTAGTGTCTCGGGAGAGTTGACGACGCCAACAGTGGGCACTTCTGTGCTGGCCTTTTCTGAAATTGAGGAATCCAGTTGATAACTGATATTATATCGCAGTCTGTAACATAACCAACAATATATGTGTCACGACATTATGAAATTAGGCTCTCGTCAATTTTGGGGCTTATGAAGTTATAGGTATTAACTCAAAGCTAGTTCTTTTGTCTCACTTTTGATGAAAAAAATACACCTGATCTTTCATAGAAAGCGAAGATAATAGCAATTGAAGGAGGTGAGGGATATCAAAGTTTGGTGACTTCCAAAGTTTGAATGTCCAAGGAAACTGCATATTTACATTTTTTTGTGTGTCTTTGATTTATGTCTTTCAATAATATCCACATAGAAATGTGTTTTAAAATGGACATAAAAAGTGTTGAAGCCAACACCCCCTCCAAAAAAAAAAAGAATAAATAAATAAAAATTTAAAAGAAGAAAAAAATCAATAAAAATTGTTCAGAGAGCCCAAAAAAAATTGGCCTCTTTGATTTCATTTTGACAAGCACCTGATTTCACTTTCTACAAGAGTTTTTTTTTTACTAGGTAGGTAATAGCATCAGCACCAGTACTTTGTTAACAACAAGCAATCTATCAACGGTCTCAGCAAAGAGAAAAACACCAACACAAGAACAAGCATTTGGCAGAGTTTAAGCGAATCGAGAGAGGCACAAAGACACAACAGAAGTCATTCGGAGCAGGGGAGGGGGGTAGGGGGAGAGAAAGACAGACAGAGACAGACAGACAGACAGCTAGACAGACAGCTAGACAGAGACAGACAGACAGATGAACAGATGGACAGGCAGACAGATGGACAGATGGACAGACAGACAGAAACAATAGACAGAAAAAAAAAGAAATAAAGTCCAGCACACATAAATAGCAAAGGCTCACATAGCAAAACAACCCACAATAGACTTTTGGGTCCAAATTTGTTCTTATGTATATACATTCTCTGTATCTGAACCATGTTAATAGATAGTGACACTCGAACATAATGAAAAGATTTTTCTGTGTGGATACTAAACTGTCGAATTTACAAGTGATACTCACTAACCACCAGCACTACTTATGTTCCAACAAAAAATACCCCCAAAAACCCCAGTACAATGAATGACCCAGGGATAGCCTGTCCCTCTTTTAAAAAATTATATGTGTCGTGACGCTGTGGACTCAGACGCTCGTTAATTTTGGGGCATACGGAGTTACTGGTATCATCTTAAAGCCTGTTCATTTGCCTTGCTTTTGAAGAAAATAAAGTATCCATTTATCTTGGATACAAGTCAATACATTGGTGATTGAAGGAGGTGGGGCTCGCCTGGTTACAGAGGTACAATTAGCAAGAAAATGCCCACCAAAGTTGAGTTATTCCCTTTGCTTGAGAGTCCATGGAAACGGAAATTTACACCTTTTATGACTTTAATCAACATTTTTCAGTAAAATCCACACAGAAATGTGTTCTTGCAGAGGTATGAAAGGTGTTGAGCCAAAAAACAAAAATTAGATAAAAATTTCCAAGCCTGTGAAATAAAGCCAGTTTTCTTGACTTTCATTATTTTTAAAAAGTGCCTGATTTCACCATGCATCCTGTCATATTAACCCCCCCCCCCCCCCCTAAAAAAAAACCCCACAAAACAAACAAAACAAAAACTAAAAGCCCCAAACAAACAAATACCCAACAATACGCATAACTATGTGACAAATACCTAAACCATCAGTTGTGCCAGATGACCCATGGAGATCTTTGTTCCTCCCTCCACAGACGATGTCCTCCACACCACCGGGGTACAGGTTTGACAACTCTTCACGGAACTCCGGAAACTTTCGCAGGAACTGGAGTTTGGAAAAATAGTACCATCAGTCTCAACATTTAAAAAAAGTGTCATCACACTCAGCATTGGAGAATAGTACTATCAGTCTCAACATTGAGACTTGATAAAATAATACACCATTAGACTCAACATAGATAAAATAATACAGTAGAACATGGCTATAGTGGGACTTTGAGTCCCAGAAGAATAATCATGCTGTAGGCAAGTTCCCGCTACAGGAATGCAAAGGGGGATTACCGAAAATTCACTAACTACACGCTCTCCTCTTCTTTTACGGCCTTTTAAGGCCTAGCCTAGGCATACAGAACATCACTTTTGGTGTGGCTCACATAACCTGTCTCTCCGCACGATCTATCTCTGCTGCCTGCCCCACCTCAATCACTGGATGGGCCAATCACAACGCCGCACCGCTGACTGCCTGTTTGGAGCCCACTTACATCCCCCCCCCCCCAAAACACCTTCCCCCCAGCTAAAGCTTCCTCGATCTCTCCCGCTGTATCCAAGTTCGGGTCTGTCCTTGCCCAGTTAAACCCAAGCACAGTTAATTGAGTTTACACAGACAAAAAAAATGGGATTCCGATAAGGTCCTGCTGTAGCGATGGTCCCGCTGCAGTGGGTGCCGCTATAGTTACGTTCAACGGTACACCATTAGACTGCACATTAAAAAGATAATACACCATTAGACTCAACATTGATAAAACAATATACCATAAGACTCAACAATGATAAAATAATACACAATTGGACTCAACAATGATAAAATAATACATCATTACAGTTGAGAGTGACGTAAAACCTCTACTAAAACAAAAAAGACTCAATATTGATAAAATATGCATACCATTGGACTTAACATTGATAAAATAATTCACCATTAGACTCAACATTGATAAAATAATACACCATTAGCATGTGCCAGAATCGGCACTGAAAAAATAATACATCAGTAGCATACACACCAGAATGAGTATTGAAAAGATAATACACCATTAACATAATTATATATACACCTGAATCAACATTGAACAAATAATACAGTGGTGTCCATTGAACAACAACCCTGATAAGAGCAACATCCACTTAACAGCAACCTCAGTTAGCATAATGGATTATTTCTTTATATAAAAAAACCTTTTTACCAGCAACCCATTTCTCTAACAGCAGCCTTTGTAGCTATAAATTGTCTGATGACATTTTTTGTATGGAGATTCAAAAACTGAAGTCTGACACTGGACCATAATTTCAGTGTGTTTGTGTGTGTGTGGGGGGGGGGGAGGGGGTTATCAGAGTGCTAACCAGCTGCGAGACGTGGCATCGACCAGCAGGATCGAACCCCAGCCATGCGGTAATCACACTGAGCAGGATGTCGTCTTTCTGCCTGGAGGCTGACAGGCTACTGGTCAAGTCTACAACGTCTGGCGCGGCCAAGGACAGAAGGGATGAACTGGCACAAATCTGGAAGAAGGGGGAGAAAATTTGTGTCACAAACATGGTAGGAGATGGGAAATTGGAACCTTCGTAATTTAGCAATGACCACGAAAAACCTTTTTTTGCCAGAAAGTGTTTGCAATTTTGTAGCTTTATCTTCACAGAGCATGGAACTTTTTGAATTTTTGAAATCCATCAATAAACAAAAAAGTTACAGATTTTTTAATCAATTAATTTCTGGTACACTTTTATATAATGAAAAAACCCCAAAATATGGGACGTTCTTTAGTGAGTTTTGAGACAATATTCGTCATAACTCGCTCATTTCTCGGAGTATTTAAAAGGAACTTGGCAATCCAGTACATTTTCTAGTGCAGAATCTAGTCCTGCTTTCAGATTTTTCATAGCTATCCTATTTTTTGAGTTATGAAGACGTTTATAGGTAAAAATGTGGCGGTTTTCGGTGCGTTTTGAGACAATATTTGTCATAGCTCGCCTATTTCTTGGAATATGTAAATGAAACTTGGCAGTCTAGTACATTTTTTAATGCAGAATCTAGTCATGCAGTCTGATTTTTAATATCTGTCATACTTTTTGAGTTGTAAAGACATTAACAGGTAAAAAAGCGGCGTTCTTTACAGACTTACAAAGATTATCAATGTTCTCCCAAAGTCATGATATTTGAATGAAACTTGGCAACATAAAAGGTTCCTCCTTGCCAAGCAATGCTCTGGATCAATTTGTCACAAAAATGTAAGTAGAGAGCTGGATTTATTAGTCTAATAAATCCAGTTCTGTACTAGTAAAAGCATGCATACTTTGTTATAGAAAATAAGATCGTCTCTGTGTATATCCATTGTTGGACAGTGTCCTATTGTGTGGTAGATTAAGATGCGTTCAGATAATATAGTTTACAAGTCATGGGAATATTTCGCATGTGTAGGCTACAACTCATACAGTAAATGTAACATATTTACACACCCCCCCCCTTTCTCTCTCTCTCTCTCTCTCTCTCACGCGCGCACACACACACACATGCACGCGTGAACGATAACAATGTATAAACAGGACTATCTTCCCAGACTGGACTAAATAAGTACCATACTCTTTAATAACAATCTTAATGCCTCACTTTTCCAAACAGAGCACACAGGACGAGTCCAAGTGTGTGCTTTCCCAAGAGGGGGGAATAGGCTTTCATAACACAAATACAATGCCATACCACATCTCAAGATGTTTGCTTTTCTGTTTCTATTCTTCTGTCATGCAATCAAGCAAATAAAAATGACTACATCTATTGTATTGTGACTAAAATGCAACAAAAACGCAAGTTATCAAGGCCCCCATTTAGTTTTCAAGTACCCTTCCCCCCCTTTCCTGTTCACATAAGCGGGGCCTCGTTTGTAGCGCCCGAGGCGACCGATGGATGATGACGTCACTCAGTGGAAATTTCCCAGCACGTGCAAATGGCAATGTCGCTTTTTCCCTTAGTTACTCCCACATTTTTAAAGATTACGCGAAAACCGCTAAACACAGAAGCTTGAAATTTTAAGGGAATAAAGAAAAATGGTGTACAACGTATCAGTCAGTTTGACAAATCACAGCTCCGAAAAATCTTCAAAGCGCACCACATCAACCACTTTCGCAAACGTTTTCGACTGCTTCTAGGATGGGTACAATGTTGTCAAACTGCATACTACGAGATTGACCTCTTTTCTGATTGGCTGCCAAGTTTCATTCATATCCATTCACGAGAAGCGGCGTGAGAGACAGTTGAAGACAACAACCTTTGCGTTAGTGCGATCCACGAAACACCCCCGCTGCAGGGGCCAAAAATCGGCAGAACAAAACGCGCTCGATGAGCATTGCTACGTAATTGGCATGGCAATATCGATTAATTTGAGCAATGACACACAAATACGAAGCCCGTGGGGGATACAGAAAAACATAACGCCAGTGTGAAACTCCGTGTATTTACTTAATTAGGTCAAACACCTCTATTGTCAGAAATTATGTTAGATGTAATATAAATTGAAATTTTTTTTTTAAATCCACTATACATACAATTTTGAGCAAATCTGGAGGATATAAAGAAAGATATTACATTTCTTCCCCCTCCAAAAAAGTTGTTGAACTAATTTTGCAGAAACACAGTAAGAGCCCAGCAATGTTGATAAGTAGTACGCAAGACAGACAAAAAAAACCCTCTCTCACCTTCTCGATATTTTCCTCAATAAACTGCGCGGCGGTTGCCACAAGCTGCGAACAGTTGAGGCGGGCGGCCATGCACTGGACGTGCAAGCAGTTCGAAATGTCCAGATCGTCCGAGACAAACTCGCAGCACAAACCGGAGATCTCGGTCAGCTCAAACTTGAGTGCTGCGGTGAGCAGCGGCCAGACGTTGTCGTTGTCCAGAGAGATGGCCGAGGTGTAGCAGAACTCGATGATCTTGAGTGCCGCCGTCACATCCACTCCGTCCAGGTGAAGCTCCGATGTTGGGTGGAGGGCGGCCGACAGTGTCTGCTGGTGGTGGGCAGATGTCTGTAGGGTCTGTGGGATATTTTTCTTTTTTTGGTAAGTGTTTTACGGCACTGGCAACTTCATAAAGTCATTTGAGTGCGCGGGACACATTAGACATTTTCAGTTTGGTAGGAATCAATATTAAATTTTGCCCGGGTGGTGCCCGAAACCTACTCTTATCAATTTTGTACCACCAACCAAGGGATCTTTATTTTGTGCAACTTGTACATGGGACCTCCCAGATTTTTCGCCCTTATCCGATAAGGCTAGGTGTTAGATCTTACCTTCCCTAAGATCAGGGGTGTGGCAGAAAGACAGCAGTAAGAAGGAACCAAGGAGTAGCAATGGAAAGGCTGCAGAAAGAGTCAGGAGCCCAGAGGAGGGGGCAAAGGCGGTTGGGGGGGGGGAGGGGGGAGAAGAAAGGGGAGACAAAAGCAGACGACAAAACATTACTTGAGAGCAAGAAAGGAGATGAAAAGAGAAAATTTTAGAGAAGAACATTTTCCGTCGCTATCCGGATTCCACTGTGACCTATCGAATGAGAGCCGAACACCTTCTCTAGGCCATAAGAGCCCCCGTTGCTTCTTTGTACCCGTAAGTGGACTATAGAAGCGCAACAACTAACTTTATTTACACATGGCAATAAATAGGCCCCTTCCAAAAGAATAAAAGTTGTTTTATTAGGACTGTCATGAAAAGGAAGAGACAATTACATTTTTATAAAAGAGATTTTTTCAGTTGTTTCAGTATTTGAATTTTGACATAACAATTTTATGTCTACACAAGTTACAAGAAACTTATCATCACACACACACACACACACACACACACACACACAAACACACACACACAAACAAACAAAATTATTATACAATTTCAAAGCACTCTCGATTATGAAGTCACCTAACTTTGCGGCCATTTGTTCGCTAATTATACCTCTGACACCAGGTGACCCTAATGCACTTGATTAGTATATATCTCGACTTCTATTCAAGATAGAAGAGAATTCTTCTCATTAAAAGCAAGACATAATATGCACAAGCCTGAAGATGATACCAATAACTCTACTTGGGCTCAGTCCTCGGTCCAGTTTTGTTCACCAGTTACACTCAATCACTTGTCAAGGAAATAGTTAAGTATGACTTAAAATACCATTTCTATGCTGATAATACCCAAATTCATGGTTCAACATTGTTTACCAACTTAGATGAACTTGTCCATGGTGCTGAAAATTGTATTGCCTTAGTGAAAAACTGGATAAACAAAACTAAATTGATTTTGAATGATAATAAAACAGAAGTCATTCTGGCAGGCAATTCAAAGTCTGTTAAAGAGGTTGACCACGATCATATTACTATTGGTTATGCAAAAATGTTATTTTCAAGAAAAGTTAAGAATCTTGGCATCTATTTTGATTCCAGTTTGTCAATGTTGGCTGAGGTAAATCATCTGCCCCAGCTGCATGTATTTAGAAAAAAAGAAAAATTTGTAAAATACGTCATCTGATCAGTACTAAGTATACTGCTTTACTAGTAACTAGCTTAATTTTATCAAAACTCGATTATTG